GTAGCTGTGTATAAAACGCGCGCTTTTTTCAATCATTTCTCTTGCTTGTCATGTGCTGCCACACTTCAGAAATACGCAGAATTTTTTTTCATGTGCCAATATCCTTCCCACTACCCCCTAAGGAACGTGCCGGCTTTTGGTTGCCCATCCCATCATGTGCGACAGCTTCCAGTTTTGTCCTTGGGTTGGTTACCACTTCTTGCACCTGCAAAGCTAATGGCTGTTTGCTTTTATTATCTCAAAGCGTGCGCTCTCTGGTGCGCAAATACATCTGTTTTATTCAGCACTAAATCACACTAATGATAAAACCATGGTTGCGTTTACTGCTTTCAAAATCTAAAAAACTAACTCAGTCTTGCTGGGGATAAGATAAAAGACTATTATCACTTTTTTTTTAATTTTGCTATCTTGACAATCATACAATTTTCTTCCATGCACTCTCTCACACAGTTTTCTTAAGCTATGGAAGTGTGCACCGGTTGTCCTGCTGCTAGCGAGTCGTGCAGAAAAATACTCTGTGGGGCGATCTTGTACGCGTTCCAAATTCAGACGCACGCATTCCATTTCATCGAATCGCACGCGATTGGCCCATTCGAGCTGTGACGAATGCCGTGATGGTCTATGTCACATAAGCCAAGGTGTCATGTGTCTCTTTTCATCCGTTTTTTGAATGGAAGTGAAGGAACAGTAGGAGGGACTGTCAGAAACGGAAAGGATTGATTTAAATGGCTGTGAGACAGCATGGATTGAATTTAAATGTAAGCACTTCGCACCTTTTCAGTATACAGGCACATTACGAACATGGAGTTTCCTTTCTCTGCTACGGTTTTTCATTTCGCCTATGTGGCTACAGCAGCTGAGCAGAGACGACAAACTGAGGTAAATCATGCATTTGAATACTTGACTGATAAAGAGTTCCGACAACGTTTTCGTCTGTCGAAATGAACAATTTGTAGCTTGTGCAACGAACCTGATCCTATCATTGAATGCCAGTGAGCTAGTGGCCTGCAAATACCCCAATGTCAAAGAACAAATCGCCCAGACCAATCGACGGTCACTCACGTTTGTGCATCTTTGATTGCAGTGGCGTTACAGCGGGCCTCATGCACTTACGCTGTGGCTCGGTCCCTCCTTTGTTGTCCTAGCCACCTTATCTGTCCATCCGTGTTCGTTGTCGTAGACAGACTGACAGACAGACAGACAGACGGAGGATTCACGGTTTACCGATGAAACCCTTTCAAGCTTTGCCTCATTCATCATCACTCACTTCGTGGATATGCTGTGAATTTTTTTTTGTGTGTGTGTGTGTGGGCAAGCCCTTCATGGTTAAGCTCGTCACTTAGCTCCTGCCACAGCCGTCGCCGGTCAGCGACAGTGACATCGTGCCCCAGCTTGATGACTTTCCCCGCAAGCTGGAGATGTTCCGTCGTAAAGGCGAGCAACATCGCGTGCTGAGCCTCAGAAATGCAGAGAAGACGCTCGTTTTGGCTACCGGTAGAGATGCCCTTCACCAAGATTTCCCTCTACTGAGTCAATGAAATTCCCGTCGTTTGAAATTTAATAGTGGTAGAGACGTGAAAAAACAATTGCTTGAAACCAGGTTGCACCAATCTCCACCACTAAACGTCCTGCTAATTGGCGGCACCAGCTAGCATAATTTAGAACAATAACAGAAAAATTATGTTGCAATTGCACTCCATAATCAACAATTCAAAACTAGCACCAACACACTTTAGTAGTGAGCACTATTAGTTAAACATTCTTTAACATGTTAGAAACACTTCTCAACTTGCTATACGATTCCCAAGCCGACGTCAAAATTGTGACACAGGCCTCCATTTCCTTCATTTTTCTGTTCCCTTCCCCTTCTCCTCGCGACCGATGCAGTCCACCCACTTTTTGACGTAACAAACGTAATGTCACCGTCCGAATTTGAAACGCATACAAGGTCGCACTACTGCTGTGCTTATTTTTGCATGTGTGGTGGGGCTGCTATCACCCCCTGTAAAGTCGTTTGCGCCTCAAGGTGCGAATATGTCTCACGGAGAAGCCGCATTTAGGATTAACAGCCACTGAGCGGTAGGTGGCGCAGTGCTTGTGTGCAATCTTCACTATCACCATCCTTATGGTTAGCACGGTAATGCCAGCAGCAACGTCTGGCAGCTAGGTGACTAGAGAGAAAAGACTGGCGAGCTCTTTGGCGTGTGACAATTTGTGCGAGATGTTAATTTCGGCGGTGGGTTTGTGGGGACGGTGCCACGGGCCGTTTCCCGTCGGCCTGCGTGACGAGTCGACGAGCCAAGCATTGTCGGCGGTGCCTTCGCGCTATCTTGTGCTTGTTATGTTGATTGAGTGTACTGGAATACTGAGTAAGGTTGTTTTAGCATTTTGGTCACTAGTGGGAGGAGTGGAATGTACTTGATTCGGCTGATGATATCGTCAATGTAAAAAGTAGTTCGACCGTGTCTGTTGAGTCCTTTCGCTCCGAGAGCGGTGCTCCCATTTCGAGACCCCACAGTCTGTGAGCTATGTTTAGCAAAACACAATCTTTATTTATAAAAATTCATATAAGTGTTTCTTTTTTTAATGGGGATTTTGCTTGGTTTTACTCATGAATAAACTATGAGTATGTAACCACAAAAATGATTTTTTTTCGTAGCTTTGATGTCACGCAATGAAATTTTAGACAATTCTTCTCTGAAATAGAATTGTCTGAAAATTTTAATTCAGCAATAAAGGAATACCCATTTTTGTAGTGCATTCGCACTCTTATCGGTTAAACTCCCCTTCATTTAAGAGGTAGTGAACAGAAGGGTGTATGAAGCAAGTGGGTCAAGTCAATTGATTTTTCTGCTATAAATGTTTCAACAAGGACACCCTCCGATTTCACTTGAAATTTCATATTTCTGCCCAGTTCCAGAAAAATCCCCTGCCTAACCCCTTCCTGCTCTGCACATCAATTTGCATTCGTGCAACACTGGCTTGCTTGAATTACATACAGTCCTGTTCAGCCACCTTATCTCCAAACACCTGCAACATCTTTGTCAAATTTGTTATTTGAATTTTTTTCCACACAATGATCACATTATGCTAGACCATAATTAAAGTTTCAGTGTCCTATGAGCAAAAGCATGGCCTTCGAGATCAGTATTTGATAATAGTGCCTATAGCATGGCTGGCAGAAGTAAGTTGCATTGGCCCATCATCGAAAGGGCTTCCATGCCCTTTTGATCTTGAGCCAGTGCAACTTACTCCACGAAACTTCATACCTGCCAAGTTCAAGGATTCTGAATCCGGGAAATTCTGAAACTGTAGCTTTTTTTTACTTTTTTTTTTACGTATTTACTGATTTTAACCTACCGCTGCGTGCCCTCGGAGCTCGTAGATCACTATCGCGTCGCCGCGACTACGGTTTTGTGCACAGGCGGTTGCGACAAACGGTAGTTCCTTTTACAATCCCCATGCGCTTGGCTGCGCGCGCACCTTCAGAACTTCAGAACTGAATTGTTTTATGCCATCTACGATAGCTTCTGCCGCAGTTTTGTCAGCAGAGTTTGCGGAAAGCAGCGTTGCTTTGGCTGGTTGAGCGCACACTTTCGAGGTTCTGTCAGTTACCTCGTCGCCATACATAATCGTGTCAAGAGCGACTGTCGTTTCGTCCACAGTGGTTGTGGCAACGACAATTACACGCGCTGAGGAAGACGGTGCGTGCGCCGGTCGCATGCGTACTTCCGAAGCTTCGGGTACGCTGCTCGCGGCCTTCGTTCGACGTTTCTATACTAAAGTTCGTATCACCCGCCACGATTAGAAACATTCCTATTGAGGCCAAATGAACATAGTAAATTTGGCTGGGGAACTTCAAGAATTCGTATCTGCCACGGTTTCACATCACTGAGATTACACCGTACGTTTACATTGACGCCTCTTAAACTCATTTATAATAAAATGGGGTAGGTTCAAAAAGCCTGGAGCGGATTGAGCTGCTTTTTTGTTAATGCGGCCAGATCACGCACAGAAACTTCGATTTCCGGAAGATTTTCATGACAACCGTACAACTGGAAAAAAAAAGGGTCAAAATCCGGGAGTCTCCGGGCCGATCCGGGAGACTTGGCAGGTATGTAGCTTACTTCCATGCCCTTTCCAGCAGTCTGATTGCGTAGTCCTTACTCTTTTTGTGCCATCGTTGTAATGTGTCATGCCACAAATGAGAGCAAGGAAGGCCTCTTAGAAAGCCTTACCATCATCTTGAATTTCAGTGCTGTTAAGATACAGCCCCTCCACCCTCTCCTTTGCCACAAATCTGAAATCGCCGAAGGTGGTGGGGGGTTCCTTTTTCCTTGTTTGAGATTCGGTGGTATAAGTAATAATAAAATCCCTTCTTTAAAACCCATCACGTTGAAATACGGGCACGAAATCCATCTGCCACAGTGAGCCACGCTGATAGGAGTATTAACTGGAAAAACAATCGCTGCCACAAAAAGAAAGACAACTCTTCTGATAAAAATGGTTCCAGGCTTACTTTAGAAGAACAAGAGTAGTTGGTTATACATAGTCATTCGCAACACGCTGTTTGAACGTGAAGAAAGACACGAAAACTACAGGTGAAATGCATCACAAGTGTGAACTAACAACTCTTTATTTTATGGAAACATATCACATATATACCGGGTGAAACTAAAGGAAGAAAGCTTTAACCTGCACAAAGCACACGACAGGAGCTCGTGTTGTGTTCTACCTGCAGTTTTGGGGTGTCTTTCAGCGTGTTCCAACAGCGCGTCACAAGTGTTGACTAAGCTTCCGCAATTTAGGCTCTACGCATTGCTTCACATCAGCTTACTTTCGTTTTCAGAGAAAAGTTAATTTTTCTTTTGGCACAAAAACAGCAGCTGGGAATGAGCTGGCCACGCTGTTGGCAATCGAGCATATATGAAATGGAATGTGCAACTAGCAACACTAAGGCAGGATCACATCAGCAAAGCTCAAAAAGCGAGTATCCCAACCTGTTGAGCATCCCTCTCAGCTGCCAGTTGGTTGTTCAGCTCCTGTGTGTGATGCAGTGCAGTGCGCAAGGCTTCCAGCTCATGCAGTGCTGATGTGCGCTGCTGGTTCAGCTGAACCTGCAGGTGGCTCTCTGCACACAATCAACACAGAAAGTTTTGTAGGCTGCATCAGAACGTCTTGAGGCTGCATCAGAACGTCATTCTATGCAGGAAAAATGGCACTAAAATAAAACAGACACCACTAGAAAGGAACACTTCAAACAGTTTAAGCACAAATCTGTTTAAGTAATCCTTCGTTGTGGTGTCTTTTCTAATTTAGCGCAATTTTCCCTGCATCAGAACCAAGCAAGTTAGTAGGGCTTCCATCTTGAACGAATCAACAGCGTCAAATAACAAGGACAAACAAAAGAAACGACAGAAAACGGCGCTGACTCGCAACTAATGCAACTGGAATTTTCATTTTGAAAGAAACAGAATAAATCACAGCTGCAGAAGGATGATTACAAAAAACCATTATGCAAGCTTGAAGTAGCAAAAGCAACAAAAAAAAACCTATGTGACTGATAGGCATGATCAATAGCCAAACTATCCTTGATAAACGACATCTCTGCCGGTGATAAGGCTACGGAAGGTTCGCTGGCACACTTGTGACCGTCTTGTTGCTTCTGGATGCGTAACCTCACTACCTTTTGCATGCATAATGGTTGTTTGTTATCGATCTTTTACAGTTGCTGTTCATTTTGGATAAAAGTTTTAGTTGTGAGTCAGCACCATTGTTTGCCATCTCTTTCATTTGTCCTTGTTGTTTCACGCTGTTTATTCATTCAAAATTCTGTAGGCTGGTCGTGCAGTGAACAGGAGTGAAGAAAAGTATACACTTAGGGCTCGTTTTCTTTGTTAGACACAATATTAATGAGATCTAACAGACAGTCACACCAAAGAAAATATGGGGGATATTAAATGAGGTGGTTCTAATGTAAATGTGAAGAAATAAAAGTGGATGAAAAAATAACTTGTCATAGGAAAGTACCGAACCTGCAATCTTGGAATAACGTGTTCGATGCTCTACCATCTGAGCTATTATAAAAGCTATCTCCCCATCCACTTTATGGGGTATATATGTGCATTAAACGTGGAAGCGTGAGTCAATGCCTAGGTGGCGAGTGCGGAACACTCTTTATCTAAAGAAAGAAAATCTGAAGAAAGAAAAATGGATGGAAAGATGACTAGTCGTTAGCAGGGATCTAACCTACGACTTCCTGGCAGACTTCATGTCTTCAAGTAGTATATACGAGGGATTATTAGTTAACTGCCAGCTTGTAATAAGATCACGTGCTACGTTACACCAAACAGACAGACAAAGAGTGTTCCACACTTGCCGCCATTGCTACTGGCGGTGCTGACTTCTACTCCCACGTTTAATACACATATATACCCCATAAAGTGGATAGGGGCATAGCCCGCGTAGTAGCTCAGTTAGTAGAGCATCGGACGCATTATTCGAAGGTCGCAGGTTCAGTCCCTGTCCATGGCAAGTTATCTTTTCATTCACTTTTCTTTCTTCACATTTACACTGCAATTCGGTTTAATGACTTCCCCTATACTTTCCTTGGCATTATTGTGTTTGACCTCATTAGTGAACAGCAGCGTAATTTAATGGCTGGGAGCATCTGTGCAATCGACAATTGGACAACCTTTCAAAAAATAGTTTAGCCCAAGTGACACAACGCATTGGTAGGGGAGTGCCGAATAAAATGTTGGTAGCCAAAGACCTCTCGCCCAAAGCTGCACTATTTATGTTGCCATTGAGGTATACACATCATCAATAAAAATGTTCCATTTTGTTGAAGCACCCAAACTCTGAAACACAATCAGCTGACATTGCTCCCAAAATTTTAAATGTACGACATACAAAAAACAGAATAACTCCACAGGTAAATTTTTCTAAGTTGAAAGGTAAGTTTATCAATATTGACAGAACATAATGGGAAGGCTGGTCATGTCTTGAGAAAACATTAACCGAAAAAAAATGCCGCCTGTACTTTGTTCAATGACGAGTGTGCGGGAGGATAATTTTTCTGCCTAGCCTGTAATACTGCGTAATATCTCTGTAACTGGTCATCCGCTCAAATTTCTCATCATCCTCCCCGCTCGACAAGGGCAATTCAGAGGCTCAGTCTGTGAGTCCTCGAGCTGTCTGGTGTGCAGCCTCACAGCCGGCCGGTTAAGGAGGAGTGAGCGGGTACCCAGAATATATCTCCTGTTCGCTAATCTTTGTGTCCAGCCAATATTCTTAAAGCTATTTGGGATATCGGTCCTCGTGCAAAGTTTCTCACAGCCGTCTGCGAGTCGCTAAAGATTAGTGAAGTCGAGGTGGATGCAATGGCCAGTGCAATAGCTGCTTCCTACGCCTCTTCTGAAAAGCTTGTTCTCACCGAGCCAATGACCTTATAATTTTCTTTGTAGTCCACTACTGCTATAGTCATGCTGTCATTTCCTTTGTATTTTGCCGCATCTACGTATGTTGTTTTCGCTAAATCTTTTACGTTGTTATGTATATTTTTCACTCTTTCAGCTCTCCTTGCCTTGTGATGGTCGAGGTGCATGTTTTTTGGAATTCGTAAGATTACTAAACAGTTTTTGATCTCATACGGGATATCCTTTTGGCGCCAAACTGATTTTCGTAGTTTATACCCAGTTCTTCTAGGATGGCTCTGCCTGTTTACTATGCATTAACCGTTCATATTGTGCAATTTTTTGAGATTCTATAAGCTCTTCTGATGTGTTGTGAAGCCCTGATTGAAGTAATTTCTCAGTAGGGGTAGTTATCGGAAGTTCGATCGCCTGTTTGAAAACTCGTCTAATGACTCTGTCTATCTTTTCTCTCCCAACCACTTGCAGTCTAAGGTACAGAATCACATATACAATACGACTTAAGAAAAAAGCCTGTACCAGTCTAATCGTATTATTTTCCTTTATACCATAGTATCGGTTTGCAATTTGTTTGAGTAGGCGCATAGTTTGCTGCACACTGGTTTCAAGTAATCCAATCGCCTATCCGTTATACCCATTCGAGCTGATTTGGAGTTGCAGAATTCTTATGCTTTCAACCGTGTGTATTTGTGTTTTTTCAACGAAGACTTTAATGTTAGGTTTTTCCTGGATACTTTTTTGACCCCTGCATGTTGGGTTGTAGAAAAGGAGTTCCGATTTTTCCGGTGAGTGTTGTAATCCTGTATGGGTGGCATATTCATCTACAATATTCACTGCGGTTTGCAAACCTTCCTCTATGTACCCATCACTACCTTCTGCTATCCATAAGGTAATGTCATCTGCATAGAGGCTATGGTGGAGTCCTGGAATTTCCTTCAGCCTGGTAGTGAGACCTATCATGGCCACATTTAAAAGGAAGGGGGATGGGGACTTGCTCCTTCAGTTGTACCATGGCATCTTGTGTGGAGAGCCCTCTTCTGATGCCGATCATGTTTGATGCGGTATACGTTGTTGATGTTGCTGCGGTATACTCAAGGTACATTAACCCTGATCAGGCAAGCATGCTCCATTATTACTTTACCGACGCAAGAAGTGAGGAAGATGTGACCGCATGTTCTGGATTTATAGGGGTTTACCCGGCTTAAGAATGAGGATCGCGTCGGATTTCTTCTATTCGTCGGGTATCTCCCTGTTTCTACAGTACTCGTTGATGTAGTCTGTCATACGGCTCGTTCCCTGGTCGTCCAGGTTCCGGAGCATCTTGTTGGACACTTTGTCAGGACCTGGAGCTGACTTGGTCTTGATAGTCTGCAGAACTGCTCTGATTTCTTCCTGTGAAAAGTGTCTGTCGAGATCTTTGTTGGGAGAGCCTGAGTATTCCTGGTGTTCGACTGCCGGGGGTCTGCCGAGGCAGAGCTTGGCGATTTCATCACTTATCTCGTGGATGTTCCCTTTATACCTGTGTCTTATCTTGGTCATTTCCGCTTTCACCGCCATTTTGGTGGCCGACGGGTCCAGCAGGTGCTTAAGAATTTTCTATGTCTTGCCTGTGTTTATGTTGCCGTTCATGGCGTCACACACTTTGTCCCATACCTGATGGCATAGCTGGGTACAGTGTGTTTCGATGTGCTTGTTTAGTTCGGCGAGTTTTCTCCTTAGATTTCGATTGCATTTTGCTTATGCAGCCGTTTCTAAATAGACTGCTTTGGCTTCGACAAGGTGTGTGTGAGCTTGCTGTCCATCCGCATTTGAGAGGCTTCTGCCACACTCATCTTCCTCTTCTCAACGAGCCAACCAGTCATCTCACTCCATTTCGGTTGTGGCTTTTTCTACGTCTCGTAGAAGTTCCCTGCTCCATTATTCTATGTGTTTGATGGGCCCCTGTTCTTTCTCGTTTCTGTTTTTGCGAAATTTGTCCCAATATACGCGCCTGATCATCCGTTTGCAGTTCCCGGCTGGAGGATTGCCTAGGGTGATGCTGAGAATCCTGTGATCACTCTCCAGGTCTTCAAAGATGTTTTCCCACGTGATTCGCCCAGCGTTCTTGCAGAGGGTTAAGTCTGGCGTGGTGTCCCTGTGAGGACCTACACTGATTCTGGTGTGCGAGGCTGGCTCATTCAGAATGGTTAGGCCGGCCTTTTCGATGAGGTCATCAAGGTTTTTTTATTTTCTTTGACGAGTGCCCATTTCCCCACTGCATGTGTGGAGCGTTAAAATCACCTCCGATGATAAATAGGTTGTCGCTTGAGATGTTCATCGTTTCATTAATCAGTTCTTCAAATTTATGTGGTACGCCCTTTTTAGACGGGCTGCTGTATACGTTTAGGACAAAAGTGCTGCTCTTCTTTTTGCTGTGTGTCATGACTTTTATAAGGATGTGATTGATGTCCGAGACTTGTTTCGTAATGTGTGGGATAGCAACTAGCCCTTTCTTCATTAATGTGGTCACGACTATGTCTCACTTCCTTGTGTGCGATGTCTGTGGGTGGCATACCCGGCAGTTTTGGCGTGGTGGAATGTCTCCTGCAAAATGATCACGTCAGGCTTTTTTCTTTTTGTGGTGATTTTGAGAAGTTGCACCATCGATGCTTTCTTATTAGAGAAGCCACGGCAGTTCCACTACGAGATGACGAGTTTTCTCATTTTGGTGCCCGCCATGTCTCAGAAATTCTCTTCTCTAGCTCTTCGAGCCGCTTATCATGTTTTAGTGCCAGCGCCTTACTCTCTACCTCGCTGTCGCTAAGTCGCACGACCAGCATCTCGAACATTTTCTCCATTTTGTCAGACAGTTTTGTTCTACACACAAGCACGAAACGGACAAGGACCTTGCATATTAACAACCTTTAATCAATCACTTTCCCTAGTCAAATACAGCTGAGCCCACATATAACAGCCTCACTTAAAACTAACTTTGTCTTCAAGCAAACAATCCCCACGTAACCATGGAAATATATACTAGTTTAATGGTACAAAATCGCACTTACAACTAACATCTCTCAGCACCGCTGATCAGTTACAGCGAACGGAGTCGGTTCTCCAGCAACTTTCTGGGACACCATTTCTGACCGCCGGTAAGCAACTGGCAAAGTGCCCCTATATTCTTATTGTTAAACGCCGACCCTGCTTTCGCAGCCCTCTAGTTGTTGCTCCCCCCCAATCGTTTTTTGCTACGCACCCCTCGGTCCAGTGTACCCCCACTATTTTGAGCCTTCCGCATCACCAGACGAGGCCAGTGTTTTCACACTGCTATGGATATTTCGAAGACCGGTCGGCACACTAGTCTCCCCTCAGTTTATGATCGCTGACCTTGTTACACTGTCGTTGGCATCGCCATCCTAGAGACCAGACCATCTGCCAACACTATTGGGCTGCCAACTGTACCCGATCATCTGCATCTGTGTCTTGTCTGGATCGGTGTCTTATCTGTTGTAGCACCGAAAGGCGGGCGAGTTGGAACTTATCCATAGTGGGCAGCGCACAAAAGGAAACACACAAGAGAAGGAATCAGGACCCAGCGCTTGTCCTGATTCCTTCTCTTGTGTGTTTCCTTTTGTGCGCTGCCCACTATGGGTGTCTTATCGTTCCAATGCATGCGCTGCCCCCCCCCCCCCCCTTTTTACCGCCGACTTTAGTCATTCGCGATTCGTTTCGCAAAACTTCTTCTCGTTCACTTCACACTTCACTCACCATGTCTCTCACACGTTTGTGGAAGCGAGAAAACAGCTGTTACATGGAACGTATAGTGAAAAAACTGGGGAGCATCCCCCCAAAGGAAGCTCTGATGAGATGCGAAGCAGCAGCGGTGCGCTTGGCAATGACCCGGTTGAAACGGGCGTCAACGCGGGTGCTGGAAGAACGGTTTGAAGTAAAACTCGATGTAGCATCTACTCGAGTAAATGTTTGTAACGCAATGACGCGGGAGGTGGGACGCGTTAAAGACGCTTGCGCTCGGCTTTTTTGGCTCGCGTCTTGTCGGTGTTACCTGCACACCGTCTGTATTCTCGAACGCGATCGGTGTTCTTGACTCTCACCTCATCGGTGTAGCTGGTCTTCCACTGCCAGCACTTGCATACGGCTTCCCTGTTTCTCGCCTCGTCGGTGTTCATGTCGCCATTCGCGAATGCCATCGGCTTAGCTGACCCTCGCAACACCGGCCACAGCAGGGAAAGGTACACGCACACTAGCAAAAAGCACTTCGCGACGACGTCCCGCCCGTCATCACGATTGCGCGGCAAGCAGCAGCGCCCTGTCTGCATTGTCAACGCCGCGAGATTCTCGAGGTGCACGCAGCATGCGCACCCATCGCCTCTCTGCTTCTTCTCGTTGACAGATGGAGAGAGGTGGCGTAGGTGAGGTGATACCCTCGTGAGGAGTGGGCTCGAGCATTGCGAGCGATGGAGAGGGTGAAGCGAGAGAGAGCTGACACGTGCAAAGTGCGCGGCAGGCAAGGAAGAGAGACATCACCGTGCACTGCTAGGAGGGCGTGAGCTACTTTACACCACTTCCACATCTGCAGCGAGGGGAGCGGTGCGGACAGAGCGACAGCATTACACTGGCTAGTAAAAGAGCAGCTTTGCATTTAATAATCAAAGTTCGCCGAGCCGCGCAAGCCCGCCAGCATAGTAGGAAAATTCTCCTAAGATTTCCTACACACAAGACGCATGTTTCGTGGACCTTCGAAACAAGCTACCCGACCTGCCTTCTTCCTGCATATTTGGGTTCTCGAGCCACCCGCTGTATGCTCCCCTCTCCCTTCTTCACTCTATCACAACTACTTCACCTGTCTCTCGAGAGTCTGCTCTCCTCTCTTTATTGTAACTCCTCCACACCTCTCCACCGCTCCACAACATCAGCCATGCTGGCGATGCTGGCTCGAATTCAGAAGTTTCTTTTTCTGCTTAGAAACGGGCCCATAGCAGTTCAATGCGTCTTGGCTTGTTTGTCGTGTGTGAACATTTTGCTCACTGTTGGTGTGGGTGTGTGCTCAGGATGGGGAACGAGAAGCCTTCCGCGCCTTTTTCTGCCACTCAACAAAACATTGAAAATGTGCCCGCTTGGCTAGGGTGTGATCCCCGCGTTTAAGACTTATTAGAGGTGTGCATTCTGGAGCAGACGCTCATAGCTGTTGACCGCCCGGCAGCCAACTCACTGCTTTGGATGTCTCTGTATTCAGCTGTAAAGTAGACAAGGCTTTGTGTGAGGCGGTGACAGCTATGCATGTCTGAAACTTTCACGAGACCAACTTCGTCAACGTCGTACCCGATACTGAGCCTGAAACTTTCAAACAGATCCACTTCGGAGGCAATTGGTGGTAGCGCGTTATTGATTCAAATATGATAGGGCGAGATATCTGCTGTGATGATTTCATTACAGCTGATGATGATGATGCCTACACTGCAGAACCGTGCACTGATAAGGACATTATGAATGACAGGTGCGGCAAGAGCAATTGACGTATCAGATGATGATGATCACAATACTTTGTGGCTAGTGCCCACTAGCACGCTTGCAACAATTGGCTATATTAATAGCTTCAGGCAGCTTGTACATGCCAAGTGCCTCAGCGAATAGTGAAATTCACACTGGAATTTTAGTATTTGAACTGTTTGAACTTCCTAAAAACAAATTCAGTCAACGTTCGATTGACAATGGCCCCTTCCAATTTTCAATATGTTTCACACAATTACATTCCCGCATTGTGGCAATGCTGCTTTTCAAACTCTGCTACGATCAGGAAAACACTGGTTCCAACATGAAGGCAGTAGATCTGGCACAAGTGGAGGCTCAATTAATGCTGTTTTTGAACTGAAATTTGGGCAGGAAGTCCAGAAAATCAAGCACCAAAGATTTTTAGTAACCAATATTTTAGATTTTTCTATAAATTGATGTCTGCGAGACAGATAACAAAATCTCGACTCGAAAAGAGCACATCTTTGTCCGCCACATCAGCTGCGCTTCCACAAGTGTTTGAAAGAGGAAACGGGGAAATAGCATCCTTGCCTTTCCCATGTAAAGTGCTGTCAACAGCACTTCAGTTGCACCAAATCATGAGCATATAAATCTAAATGGGCCTCCGCATCACGCCATTCTTGATATGACCAACATAAAAAACCACCCGCCAGTGCTCCATCAACCTAGCCAAAAGAAGCACTTTCATGTTGCTATATCATAGGAATATGCATAGAAATCTTTTACAACTTCTTTTCTGCAGTTTCACTTGGAATTATTAAAAATATATTCATTCAATTCGCATTCACACTTACAATAGTAGAATTTGCTTCGCACTCTAAATTTTGCTATTCCAATGAAAAGCCTCGAGGTGTCTCTCAAAAGTCTTGTTGCGTGACAACTTTGCAACTCATTTGATTCCCCTTTGGCAAAAGAAGCCAAGCTTCCACTTACTCCTCTCGGGGAAAGGAAACTGCTTACTCAGCAGGTGTAGATGAGCAAAAGCTTCACAGCTATGCCACACACTTTGTCAGTAGGCTTTTTCACGTATTGCATTGCAGGTCACACACTTTGCACACATGAAAAAGTAGCCTCACTCGTCCTTATTCCTGGCATTGCTAGCCTGCACCAACTCCAACAAGCTCAAACTAACAATGAACTGGCTTGCTGAATTTGCATTTTGCTGAATTTGCTTTTCAAGGCACCTTGTGACAGCTGTGGCAATTTGAAAGCCTATTTTATTGCATTTTCTGACCAAACTGAGTATCAATAATTTTAGGGTGATGCTCAAAAGTACAACATTCTAAGTATTAGTTATGTTCTAAATTGACTTTTGGACTGTTTGTTACCATTCCAACAACCTGATTTTACCTAAAAGTTAAAGGAGCTGAATTCTATGAGTGCAGTTGAACAGCATAATAAATGAAAAAATGAATGACAGCCCCTGATGACAGACAAGCCTGGAGATGTGCTTGTTCTGGTCATAAATTTTACTAGTCACAAAGCAATAATACAACAAGCTAAATTCAAGACACTGGCCAGTCAGTCCTTCCTACCTTCATTCCGGCTCTTCTGGCATGCATCGTTCAATATGGTCAGCTTGGCCTGCAGCTCAGACACCTGACTCCGCAGACTGTCGACTTCACAGCTGCTGCTCACAGACAAAACATGGCGACAGTGTGTCAGGCCCTTCTGCCCCTGTTCATTATGTCTACGAATACAGCATTATCACAGGAACATTGCAACTTATAAGGAGGTGGACAAGTCTTACCTTTTGCTTTCAGCCTGGTCTGTGTGGCAAGTTAATCCACGGAAAAAGCTAAATAAATTGCAAATTTCGCAAAAGCAAATGATGGAAAATCCTTTTCTACAGGGCATGAAGTGTCCACTAAGACAATTCATGAACCAACCAAACCAGAGCAGCAGCAGATGGTCATTGTGCTAGGGCCACTGATGACCAAAAAGCACCATGATAATGTTTAGTGGCCGTACACGGAGCCTAAAATCATGCATACAAGAGGTCCGTAAAACAGTATAACAATTAATGCGGGAGGCAAGAGGCATGTAGAATGAATTATCCCCTTGAGAGTTTTATTAGCCATACATGTACAAATGGCGGTTACCTATCTGCCCTCACATATGTTTTCGCCGTGCAGGTGCAACTCACCGCTAGAAGTTTCGTGCCATGACATCACTGAGAGGTGCTGGCACCTTCAAGGACTAGCAAAGAGCATTAAAAATGACTATGCTGCCTTCTAGTAGAGACACACACAACTGATTTCTAGCATCAGTGCATCGCACGCTGAGCGGCAATGCCCTTTTGTGGTTTCGTGATTTGGCTGTGTGATCGCAACAGAGGCACGCACAATTTCATTTTTACCTTTATTGGTACTTCCCTACAGAGGGAAGGGGGGAAGGGTGGAGGATGATTGCTATCTTTATTCACGTTGCTCTTAGCTTGTTTATCACCGACACTCAGCAAGGTGTTCTAAATCAACTGAATATGCAATCTTTAAATTTTCATGCAATGACAATTCGCCATTCAGGACAAGTGTTACCACGAAGTTACAAGTTCTTGTGCTTAATAGAAAGCATTTAAAAGTGGCACAGACGGGCCTGAACCCGTTACTGCATAGACTCACGGCATAAGTCCTGGCAAAGCATTGTAGAGTTTGCTTTGTTATGAATGTAACAACACATAATAAAATTCAATGCATAATCACTTAGATTGTTATTATATCTAGCTAAATTATTATCAGAATGGTCCTGTTCCCAGTCTAATGGAGTCCTAATAGTCGCTGAAGTTAGGGCTCAAAACTTTATTTGCATGCGCATTTCCACTGATACAGTCAAGCCCGCTAATAACGAACCTGAGCCTGACTCGGCATCTGTTCGCTGTATCCCGAAGTTCGTAGTAAATGAAACACAGCTTTTAAAAAAGTTGCAAGTGAAAACACAAACTTTTTTTTGCCCAAAAAAGTCCGTGATGCACGTGTTTCGAAGAGCAGAAGCAATAAGGGCGGTCACAAGTTTATTCCAAACGGCAGCGTGCTCGTTCGCCGATGCTCGTGGCATAAGCTGCATGAGGCACTAGCTCCAAAGTTTCGTTCTTCACGCAATTCGATTCCTCCAAATCGATCTTGCCGCGCACTTCATTCACAATGCCCTAATTCGTGAATGGTTCCACAGTGTCGGCATCATCATCGGCCGTAATGGAACCATCGCAACGGATGTCCCACCTGCTCTCTCATGTCGAAGTCGATGGCGCGCTGCCACAAATCGCCGCCACAATGGTTCTGTTCGAAAGCTTCAGGCTCGGCATTGGGCCCGACGTCGACGACGAAGTCGGCCTCGCAAAAACAATTTTGCGTGCATGTAGCTGTCACCACAGCCCACGAAATATTCACCATTTCCACAGCTAAATACCGGACCGCCCGAAGCAACAAGTTGGCTGCCATTGGTTAACAGCTGTGAGCAAGTACTCCCCAACATGGCACCTAACGCGCGGGTTGTGCTCAAGCCAAGTGGTCACATTTTCGACGTTTTGTTGAGCAGCAGGAAAAAGCGTGCAAGTCCTCCCGTCTGCCATCATGACCACACACGCACACCAAGAAAGGGCAAAACGCGCACACGCGACGCATATACCAGACTACGTGGAACAGCTCTGGGCCTGTTTCTGGTTAGAAAATGAAACTAATTCGAGCCAGCGCGGCTGGCGTCACGGAGCGGTGGAGACAGGTGAAGGGGTTGTGATCAAGACAGGGGAGCATATTTGCGAGAGAAGGGCAAGGAGTTGTGATATAGTGAAGAGAGGGGATGATACGGCAGGAGGGCCACCTTGATAACCAAGACACGTGGGAAGCAGGCAGATCGAGTAGCTTGCTTGAAAGGTTCGCGAAACACGCAACTGGCACGCAGAAAAACTTGAAAGAGTGCCTGCGCGCGCAGAAGTCAAAGCACAGCGGCCTGAATCAGCGTTCGCGGCGGTGTTCAAAGAATCAGCGGCCGTAATAAAGAAATCGTTTTGTTGCGCCTGCGGGTTTGCATGGCCTCACCGACTTCGGTATTTCGCGATTCGTTTCACACAGATGAACAGCCGTTTTCGCCCTTCCACGCGCGTGCGAAGGGAATGCTGAGCGGAGTCCGAAGTGAGTGAAAACAGGTCAGAAAGATGAAACCAATTGCGAATTATCCAAGTCGGTGGGGTAGCGTACGTGCGTGCACTGGACGCAGACGATAGAATAGAGTCGGTGGCCAACAATGTTGGCAAATGGTCTGGTCACTCCAGGCCAGCAATGCCAACGACAGTACCAGCGATCAAAAACAGGGGAGATGGCCGACCAGACTTCGAAAGATCGGTGACAGTGTAAAAACACGAGCCTCGTCTGGCGATGCGGGGTGCTCAGATTAGCGATGGGACAAAGGTCGGAGGGGTGCATAACGAAAAGCAGTCGGGGAGAGCAGCAACGGAGGCAGGGTCGTCGTTTAACAACAAAAATGTATGGGCACCTCGCCGATGCCTGATCAGTGGTCGAAAGTGGTTTCCCGGGAAGTCGGGAGAGCGCTGACCCCGTTCCCTGTAACCGATTGGCGGCACTCGGAAACGTTCATTGTAAGTGCGATTTTGTGCCATTGTACAAATGTATACTTTCACAGTCATGCGGATATTGTTTGTTCTAAGCGAAAGTTCGTTTTAAGTGGGACCGTTATATGTGGGCTCGACTGTATTACCATACCCAAATTGTGCTCATGCATTCTGCAATTCTCGCCATTTCGGAAGGCTCACAGCTGTGACCTATTCCACAAATGCACTGAGCATATAACAATGGTTTGGTTTTCAGAAAATCCGTGCAAGTAGCAGAAATTCTTGGGAAGCAGTACCTCCTAGTCAACGACACGCCGCCGATGAGTGCAAATGCTCTGGGAAATTTCTTTTATGATTAAGAGGGTTCAAAACTGCCTGAATATTACATTATAGACATTTCCTTATTAACATTCTGCAACTTTTGGAGGAGCACGTGCGCCCAGCCACCCTTTCTCTTTTACGGCAGTGGGAAAACCTAGTTGCGAGGACATGAGTGTCCCTTTGAGACACAAGTCAATAAAGCCTCTTGCGAAAAGATGGGACAGCCCCGCAACCAGCGCTCGGGATACCCCTTTCTCCACACACCGAACGGCCCAGCCTCCCTCAGCGAAGAAACATATTCTTGTCAAGGAATGGAAACCGGGACGGTGAAAAAAACTAGTGTGCCGACTGGCGTACGCTCTCTCTGGCACCGGTCATGAAAAAAGAAAGACGAACCAAGAAGCACCTGCGAGCGAAAGCCGACAACGACTGAGGTGTAAGCCTCTATCCTTTGTTATCTGTTGTCTCACTATGCGACATTTACCTGCTATTTCTAATGTATACCAATAACGTGTTGTTTGTTGACCTAGCCTGTCGCCTTATTGCTTGAACCCGTGTAGCTGCAATGACTCGAGCTACGGAAAGGGGACGCTAATCGTGCACTGTATGGCTGTGTGCAGCTGTAACATTAGCTAGGCTTTTGTGTCAGCCGTACATAGGATGGACCCCCTACGAATTCGAACTTTAAACAGTGTATCTTTGTGACAAATGTTCCTTCAAAAAATAATATTTTAAAGTAACTTATGTTCAATATTTTAATGATGGCTTCATATGTTATTGCAAAATTCATAAACCGTTAAGCAAAATTTCCATTCAAGCAGTTTGCAAAGTTTGGCATAGTTTACTTAACAGAGTGATAGGCAGTTCCACCCTTGTATTTTTTATCCGTTTCCCCCCCCCCCCCTTGTTTACTGTGCCCAAGGCACACAAAGAAGACTGCATTTGTTAGTGCCATCACAGCTCATCCAGCCAAAAAAAAAACAAAACGCATTCCATATGTGTGCACATCCATGTTTCAAGAAATACCATGCTCTCAAATGCTAATGAAGATTATGCTGCTCTGAGTGATGATGACACTAAATTATTGTTGCTTTTTCCAGACTTTACACATTTGTAGATTCAAAAGCCACAATAAAGTAATCTGACCATCTGCAAAAGTTTCTTGTGGCAAAATTTGACGCTTTGAACTTGTATATGATGACATTTGAATTCGCTTCGATTCCAATTTATATCTTTGGAAATATCAAAGAACAAATAAATGTAAATTAGTCCGCATATGACCTCCTGTAAAGGTGGCTTCCCTGCATTTAAGAAATGGCGAGCTTAGAAAACGCCTAGCCAAGAGCAATTGCCACTGCTGCAAAGCCCCAGTTCAAGGCTAAATGAAAATATTACATTCCATTAATTCATCAATTTTTAATTTAAAAGTTTGTTATGCCAGCTTATATGCTCTAAGTTTTAAATGCGACATTTTAAATGCAACATTTTTTTAAATGCAACATTTTAAAATGCAACATATTTTACACGTTACCACTTGCATTCTATAGAAAGTCTAATCCTGCTACTATTTGAAGTTGTTTCCAATTTTTTTATTATTATTGAGCAGGTTAGTTCGGTCACGACAAATATGCCCGTTTCACTATTCTCACAAGCAATGCATTAAAAATGAATACGGTGGTCAAGGTGAAAGTAACATGACATTTCACTGACCTCCGGTCGAGCGCATGGCCCTGGTCCTGGGCAAGGTGGCCAGCTTGGTCGAGTGCTAGCTGCAAACGATCATTCTCAGCGTTCAACACTTCTATTTGCCGATTCAGATCCTCCGCTATCTGCTGAGAGAGGTTGCACCTGCACACACATAAACACGTTGTTTATCATTTCATTACAAGAAAAGTTTAAAAAGCCATAGTTGCTTCTGGCCCACCAAGCAGAATTGATGGAGCTGCATTACCCATTTAGCAATGGTTGAGACAAAGAGCCAAAGGCTGCCTGAGAACATTCTGGCGATATTCGGCAACAAGACAAGCCAGGAAAGAGCAGCCAATAGTCAGAATGAGACAATGAAGAAACAAATATTATGCCGAATGAAAGCACATGAAATAAGCGTTGATAAAAGCGTACATTACATTGCAGAATTTGTTAACAAGAAAAAGCAATGGCAATAACAATAAAAGATGGTAATTCATAATAGTAGTACTTTTACTAAAGTATTAAAAGATTGATAAAAACATAAATAGGCAAGAACATGATAGATAGTCCAGAGAAATTAATTTCTAAAACAGTGTATTGTTTATGCCCAGTATACAAATTACCAAATGGTAATAATAATATAGCTCATTGCAACAGTTTTTTTTTCATTTCAATTCAAAACAATATGCAAAAAGCAACAAAATTTGAGTTAAGTACTTTGTTTCTAAAAATTTCACTCATTGAACACCCCACAGGTGACTTTTTAAACCACATGTTGTTCTCGGGCTCCTTCAGCTTATCATTTAAGGAGTGTGCAGAAATTCAAGTTCTAAATTGCAATTGAATAACAGCCAATCTATTGACGATCTTCGAATAATTGTACGTATTTAAAGTTTTGAATAATTCAGCAGGATGAATGTCTACAATACAACAAAGACCAATGGTGCAACTTGAGTTAGAATGGGGGGGCTAAAACTAATGCTCATTTCATTACAGTAGGCCTTTTACAGTAAGCCATTCAGTAAACCTCAGTTTTGGCTAACATCCTGGTTCAAAAGCAATCATTTGTTTTGTCAGGAGGTTTATTAGCCGTTAAGACAGCGACGAGACAGCGTGAAGAAGCGTCCAGCGATCGGCACAGCAACGGACCGAAGCACGAGCCGAGCGAGCCGGGCGTTGGCGATGCTGCTCGCTGCAGGCACATCTTCTTCTTCACAATCGCCCCCGCTGAAAAAGGAGCCATCCTGGCGACTTAAGAAGTTTCAGGCAAAGGCTCATGGTACGGTTTCAGTCGGGAAACATGGACGATGTCACGTGCACGCCGGCGCATGTCGTCCGATCGGGAAACTGGTTCAATTAGGAAATTAACCGGAGAGGTTTTCTCCAAAACAGTGTAAGGCCCCTCTACCGGGGGACAAGTTTCGAGGAGAGTCCCGGTGTTTGGTATGGGATGGCAAGCCACACAAGAAACCCTGGGGCATAGGTGGGATCCGGAAGAGAGGTGCTACGGGTTTCTTTCTGGCGTTGTTGCTCTTCCGAGGTGAACGCACGGGCGAGCTGGCGGCACTCTCCGGCTTGTCTAGCAGCATCGGAGATAGGTGGACACTCGGAAGCATCAGGACGGTAAGGAAGTAGGGTATCAATTGTATGGGAAGGCTCACGTCCGTAAAGAAGAAAGAAAGGTGAGAATCCCGTGGTGATTTGTATTGCGGTGTTATATGCGAACGTGACATATGGGAGAACACGGTCCCAGTTGCTATGATCAGATGCCACGTACATTGAAAGCATATCACCTAGCGTGCGGTTGAACCGTTCCGTTAGTCCGTTAGTCTGCGGGTGGTATGCTGTCGTTTTCCGATGAATGACGTGGCATTCCGAAAGCAGAGTTTCGACGACCTCGGAAAGGAAAGCGCGGCCTCTGTCACTAAGGAGCTCTCGAGGTGCACCATGTCGAAGGATAAAGCGTTGCAAAATGAAAGAGGCGACATCTTGAGCTGTAGCGCTCGGCAAAGCGGCTGTTTCGGCGTAGCGTGTCAGGTGGTCAACCGCCACTATAATCCACCGATTACCATCTGGTGTCAATGGAAGGGGACCGTAGAGGTCAACGCCGACGCGATCAAATGGCTTGGCAGGGCATGGAAGTGGCTGCAATGCGCCAGTCGCACGTGGCAGTGTTGATTTACGTCGCTGGCAGTCAGGACAGCACTGCACGAATTTACGTACAAAATTGTACATGCCGCGCCAGTAATAGCGATGGCGAAGGCGTTCATATGTTTTGAACACTCCGGCGTGGCCACATTGCGGATCGTCATGAAGGGAGGCGCATACTTGCGATCGTAAAGTGCGTGGAATGACCAGCAACCACTGGCGGCCATCGGGAGCGTAGTTGCGTCGATGAAGAAGTTGATCGCGGATGGCGAAATGGAAAGCTTGACGTCGGAGGGATCGAGATACTGGAAGGTGGGGCGTGCCAGATAAATATTCGATAAGAGAGGCGATCCACGGGTCATGACATTGTTCGGTGGCGATCGAGTCGAGATTTAGCGATGACAAGGTCTGGAGGCAAGTGTTTCCGCACGTCTGATCTGGTGGTAAAGGTGAGCGGGACAGGGCATCAGCGCCAGAGTGTTTGCGTCCGCAGCGGTATACGACGCGAATGTCGTACTCCTGGATGCGAAGTGCCCATCGCGCAAGGCGGCCAGAAGGGTCTTTCAATGTGGAGAGCCAGCAAAGCGCGTGGTGATCAGTTACTAGATCGAACGGGCGGCCGTATAAGTACGGCCGGAACTTTCCAAGCGCCCACACCAGAGCCAAACACTCTTTTTCTGTCACGCTGTAATTAGTTTCGGCTTTCGTCAGAGTGCGGCTAGCGTAGGCTACAACGTATTCTGAATAGCCGGGCTTTCGTTGAGCGAGGACCGCGCCTAGCCCGACGCCGCTGGCGTCGGTGTGCACTTCGGTAGGAGCCGTCGGGTCGAAGTGGCGAAGAATAGGTGGGGAAGTGAGCAGACGGCGCAGAGTAGTGAAGGCAACGTCACACGCAGGGGACCAGGAAGTGAGGTTCACGTCACCGCGAAGAAGCTGGGTTAACGGTGACATGATAGATGCAAAATTGCGAACAAAGCGCCGGAAATAGGAGCATAGGCCTACAAAACTGCGAAGTTCTTTCATGGTCGTCGGCTTGGGAAATTCTGCGACTGCTCGAAGTTTTGCTGGGTCTGGTAATACGCCGTGCTTGGACACGATGTGGCCTAAAATGACCAGCTCGCGTGCAGCGAAGCGGCATTTTTTCAGGTTAAGCTGCAGACCAGCGTTGGTCAGACAACTCAAAACGTGCCTGAGGCGAAGGAGGTGCGTAGGAAAGTCGTGGGAGAAAACCACGACATCGTCGAGGTAACAGAGGCACATATTCCATTTGAGGCCACGTAGCGTATTATCCATAAGACGTTCAAACGTGGCAGGCGCGTTACAAAGCCCAAAGGGCATGACGTTAAATTCATATAGTCCGTCAGGTGTAATAAATGCAGTTTTTTGGCGATCGGCTTCTGCCATTGGGACCTGCCAGTAGCCAGACCGCAAATCTAACGACGAGAAAAATTCCGCTCCGTGAAGGGTGTCAATGGCGTCATCAATGCGCGGCAAAGGATAGACGTCCTTGCGGGTTATCTTATTCAAACGACGATAGTCCACGCAAAATCGGATAGATCCGTCTTTCTTACGCACCATGACGACGGGAGACGCCCAGGGACTGTGAGATGGTCGAATGACGTCTCTACGAAGCATATCTTCGACTTGATCGTTGATGACGCGGCGCTCTTCAGCGGAAACACGGTATGGTCTTTGACGCAGTGGCTGGTGTAGTCCGGTGTCAACATGATGTTTGACTTGTGATGTGCGGCCCAGTTGAGGTTGCGACACATCGAACGAACTCCTGAACTCATGCAGAAGATCCAGCAGGTCGGCATGTTCGGTGGGAGTGAGGGTGTCGGCGATGGCGCTGGAAAACGTATCTTTGGACGATTCCTCGAGGGCCGACAGTGATTTTGGGTGGTCGCAGTAGTCGTCCGGGACATCAAACAAAAACGAAGGGTCGAGATCCTGCACGCGGCCGAGACATTCCCCCGCAAGATATGTGACAGGTGTGGAAAGCGGATTGCTTACGAACATGTTGCTTCTTCCGGCGGCAAGGTCAATTGTTGCGAAAGGCAGCGGCAAAGCTCGACGACATTTGAAGATATCGGAAGGCATAAAAAGAACTGTAGCGTCAGTGTAGGCGTTGCATGAAACGGGAACAAGGGCGCAATTTCCAGGCGAAATATCGGTATCTTCATGAACGAGCAACTTCGGCGGCTGATGAGGAGCGTCCAGTGCTGGGACATCACACAAGGGTGAAAACTCAACTTCGGCGCGTGCGCAGTCTATGACGGCATTATGGCGGGATAGGAAGTCCCACCCGAGGATGACGTCATGCGAACAGACAGGAAGAACAATAAACTCCACGATGTAAAGAATGCCTTCGATGGAGACTCTTGCAGTGCAGGCTGCGAGAGGCGTTACTTGCTGTGCGCTTGCGGTGTGAAGCGACAGTCCCGAAAGCGGCGTCGTTACTTTGCGTAATAAACGGCAGAGATTAGCGGCAATAACAGAAACAGCGGCGCCAGTGTCCACAAGGGCGAAAGTACAATAACCTTCAACAGTTACTACGACCACGTTAGCAGGAGAGGAGCGAGGGCTTAAACAGTTCGAAAACGGCGCAGTTCTTGCCTCTTGAACTGCGTTGCTTAGTTTTCCTGGTCGGAGGGTCCGGGCCGGCGACGCATGGGGGAGGGCGATCGCCGACGAGGAGAGGGTGCGCGTTGCGGCTGGAAGTCAAGGTGGTCGGTAGGCGCATAGCGAGGTGGCGAGACCGGCCCGTATTGGACGAAGGGTTGGCTGCCGGGATGCGACGAGCGGGCATAGTTGCCGAACGTCTGAGGTCGACGGCGGCAGTAGCGAGCAACGTGTCTGGGAGTGAAGCAAGCGTAGCAAATCGGTCGGTTATCGGGCGTCCTCCAGGGATTGGCGACTGGTGCTGCCGCCCAAGGTGCAGTATAAGCAGCCGGGTGTGCAGGCTGTGAGCGCGTGGTGTAGGGTGGTTGCGGGAGCCTACGTACAGCGTC